TTACACATTGTAAAGTATCATAGTACTCGGTCGCAGACATTTTACTACTTTATTTTTGGTGGATTTCCTTCATGAACATTATGAACCTTGACACAGATGAAACTAAGAAATTGCTATGAAAACTAATGTATCAATTTCTTATTTTCAAACACACACAGTTGTAGTTTGTTTTCGTTGGTTGTTTGTGCTCAAACAACTTTATTTAATTGAATTGTAACTTCGAACAGTTTTATATAGCTCTGGGATTGTTCGTCGGCAGTATGTTCAGAGTTTCAATACTGCTTAAAAATAATAATAAAGGGTGTTGGTTTCGGAATCGGTTGGAATCGTGAAAAAACTCTCAAAAGAAAAATAATTTAATGAACTACTTCTATATGTGACTATAAAAAAGTTAATAGAAAGTTTCGCAAACATGACAAGGACCAATCTAATGCAATATATATTATATGAGATATATAAAAATATATATGTGAGCCACTAAATCTACCACGAAGTTAATAAAATGTACAACAATATAGTCGCATACACGTTTGTTAATATTTATTTGAAATCTTTCTGCACGGATGCAGTGCAGTATAGGTACGTGCGTGTGGTACGCACATGAGAGCGGCAACTACAGCTATTTAGTACACACTTCAGCGACTTGAATCTGTTCTCTTATTAGATTGTGACGCGATTGAATGCTACTTGTCCTCACTCGAGATGTGTGTTGATCATAGTCGCTGCTAGCCCACCAGTGGGCATACTCTGAGCAACATAAGCAAGGTTACAATAATACTGAATAAGATCCTCTTATTGGACTCCCTCTGTCGAGCCCACGTTACCAGTAAATAAAATCAGTGCGTGAATGTAAAGTTTAGTAAACTAATATTTATGCGCTCTGTCCGCCTCCATCACAGATCGCTAACAAGGGTATTCCATTAAAGGCTTTTGGGAGACTTTAACAACTACAGTTAGATGCCGTGATCGTTTTTAATTTTACACTTCTGCAATACATTTTTTAATTTATCATCTGTACCTTCGTCGTTTCTCAAATTTGTACATTTCAGTAATAGTCTATATCCTCATAACATTATAATAGTAATATCACGGAAGAATTTATTTTAAAAACCTACGAACACTTCATTACTTCTATAAATTGTATGAGATTAGTATAAAATGAAACTTTTAAATTGATTGTAAATAAGTTCTCATCTACGAGCTTTACTGTTTGTTGTAAGTAACTGGATGCATCGCGTATAATCACAACGCAAATAATGAAATGGTAACTCTGCTCTTTATCAAATTTTTGTCTACGACTCGTGATTGTAAATAATTTATGGTAATTTTCTTCAAACTCAACAGTTTGACTCTCACTGTAGGAACGCCAATAACAATAGCGAATATTATTGTACGCACAAAATTGTTCCGTACTGTAACTTTGTCAGTGTTGGAGGAGCTGCACTTAGTGCCGGCGACAGGTGACAGCTACCAAAGGGACGTCACTCAAAATGTCAGTATTAACAAACATGAGACAGATGTACGAGTGTGTACACGTGGAGCATCTTTGACTTATACAGGGTAAATGTATTCTTTATTGGAGCATTTCGCAATCGCCACAGTCGGCGTCGTCGTCGTGGCCTAAAGGATAAAACGTCCGGTGCATTCGTATCTAGCGATGCAACGGTGTTCGAATCTCAGGCGGGTACCAATTTTTCTAATGAAATACGTACTCAACAAATGTTCACGATTGACTTCCACGGTGAAGGAATAACATTGTGCAATAAAAAATGAAACCCGCAAAATTATAATTTGCCTAATTACTGGTGGTGGGACCGCGGGGTTACTTGGAGTCCGCGCGGGTGGGTACCACCACCCTGCCTATTTCTGCCGTGAAGCAGTAATGCGTTTCGGTTTGAAGGGTGGGGCAGCCGTTGTAACTATACTTGAGACCTTAGAACTTATATCTCAAGATGGGTGGCGCATTAACGTTGTAGATGTCTATGGTCTCCAGTAACCACTTAACACCAGGTGGGCTGTGAGTTCGTCCATCCATTTAAGTAATAAAAAAAAAAAGAAAAAAAGTCAGGTCCGTCCGCGGGACGGAACACTTGTGCCAGGTAGCTCGGGTAGCTATCGACGCATATGGAATTATTAAAATTATCTGTCATCGTATAAAAATAATATACTTTTTTTCTTTTAGTATATACCGTCATAGACAAGACTTTTAAAATTATTTACGAACATACAACCCGATACACCCGTGCTCACACGCAGTGGAGCTCGGAAGACGAAATGCGTGTATATTTTATTTACTTTGCTATAATAAAGAAGGAATTAAAATCAAGTTTGTGTGAAGCAATCAACAGTTTTATTGGCTCAAATCGAAAAGAGGATCTCACGTTTATATTTAGATATTATAGCTGTCTGTACCTTTGTGACAAGAACAAGAATTTTACACAAGACGGGAGTGCGGCGATGCGGGCGAACTAAGCGCTGACAGCTGACTCTGTCGCACAAGCAGCTATGAACGATATATTATAAAAAGAAGTAGTACAATGACAGTAGTGCTATGTTATCATTTAACTAAAATATCCCTTATCATCAAACATATGTAGCGCGCCTCAATACTGACGTACCATAGTCATATCCGAAGATAACCGCTTATCAGCGATTAGGTCGTAAATGTTGTCATGACATTGTCTTTGACATTATTTTCAGCACAAACTTGACAATGAATAGCCGTGGTAGTACTTCAAATCAGCATCTCGTGTTGAGATGGAGTATAGTTGTTAAAATGCGGCGCGATGATCAGAGACAATATCAAGCGGTATCTCGACTGATAAGTACAAATTTATACAAAGCTGCCGATTAAACAAAATCCAGTAAGTTGAGATTCTATGTTTGTGTCATGTCAACACATTCTACCTGAACTGAAACGTTTCATAGTATAATAATAGACTATGTTGGTTAACCCTAGTTCAGCACCTACACATCTATCTATATATAAAATGAATTACTGTTCGTTAGTCTCACTAAAACTCGAGAACGGCTGGATCGATTTGGCTAATTTTGGTCTTAAATTATTTGTGGAAGTTCAGAGAAGGTTTAAAAGGTAGATAAATATGAAAATGCTCGGAATTAAATAAAAATAACATTTTTGTTTTTCCTTTGATGTGTCCCCCGTCGGACGGATTACTTTTGTTGGTTTTAAGTTTATTTTATACAAAAGTTTAGGTCTTTTATTTATCGATTGAGGCACTACGAAGTCTGCCGGGTTGGCTAATGCCTAATAAAAATAAAATAAAATATTTAAGAAAAAACGACTTAAGCTCTCTGTATACTAAATTGCAGTTTATTAGGAGCAGACCTAATATTATTATTGACAAAAAGCAAAAAAAGTGTTTTTATGTATAGTTTTTATGTATAGTATTAAACAATATAAATAAAAAGGAACAGTGTCTTTAGGTCAGTGTGTCAGGTCTTCATGAAGATGAAGTCAACATGGAGTTCACGGCGAACCCGCTGGCCAACATTTATTGGAAAATAGCATTAAGAAACATATAGCGGCTCAAGCTTGCAGGCTGACAGCACTGTTCTCTCGGCAGAGTTCACTGGAGCGCCGTATTTATTTAGACACAGTAATTTAATAAAACAATAACGTAATTAGGAAACATATTTCCCGTGAAACAACGCAACAGATCCCTGTTAGATGTAATGTTTATGAATCCGAACACCGATAATGGAGTAGACATAACATTGTTAAAATTAAACATTTTTATAACACAAACACGGTGTTGTAAACATTCACCCAGTATTGGATAGTGTTAGTATTACATTTACCGGATACATATCTACCTAATAGAATGTCTAAACGCCATACCTCTCAAATGGAATGTTGCGACATTGGCCCGGCGGTGAAAAACCACCTACTAGTAAACTATTCCAAGCACTTGCCAGAATCGTTTAGGTCTTCAATAAACTTACTGTTTGATTTAGAGAGTAGGTTCTTTTTATTTAGTAGGTGAGTGAACAAGTGGCGCCCCCCTGCGTACAACACAGAGTGGTCAGCGGCGCCACACCGTCATTTTGGATCCTTCCGATCCACTAACAGTGCTTTTAGGTTCCTTAAACACCAGTCATCGTTCTCGTCGAACGCGTCGCTTGCGACGAAGGGCTCGACGAGTAAACTAACCCACAGACACCAATGAGTTTCTCGCCAAATCTTCTCAGTGGGTCGCGTTTCCAATCCGGCGGTAGGTTCTGCGAAGCACGGCTCTTGATAGGGTTCGTGTTAGCAACGTCGTCAAGTTTGAGCCCCGTGAGCTCACCTACTAGATAAGGTTACGCTTAAATAGTCTCTCAAGGTTATCAGCTTAGGTAGGAAAAAAAAGGCGCCACACATCTCAATGTGGACCGACCAACTGTGCATTAAAAATTAAAAGGGATGGCCTGGTGTGCGGCTACCAGAGCTCACCTTAACCGATTGCAAACTCAAAATAATCAGCACGAACTTCAACACAGAATTCAGGCATGAATAAAAGTGTATGAACATAACTGTAGAGTGTTTAAGGAAAATCAATAATCTTTCAGTTATTTTATTTTCATTATGATGAGGACATAGTATATAGATTGAAGAGTATATACATATACATAAATATGTACATATGTAAATACATATATGTTAAGTGTGGTTGAATGTTTTTGTTTTGTGAACTTGTTCGATATCCTTCAGAGGAAATGAAATGAAAACTCATTCAATGTTTTCGTTTAATCTGAGCGTCGGAACAACGCGAACTGTATGTCGTGAGTTCATAGATGTGAGGCGAATATATGCTCACGGCGTTGCGGTATCAAGAGCTCCTTTAAATAAATAGCAGAAGGAAAAATCGATCAAGATTATCTAATACACAATTTTTCAAATTTCTTGCTAAATATTATATTTTGTTACAACTTTTAATCAAAATGATTAAAATGATTATTTCAATCAGATATTAATTAGAATTATTTGTTTGTTTCAGGTATGCTTCTCCCGCTTCGTATGAACTTCAGTGCTCAGTGACACTCATGTTTAGTTTTAAGTAGTTCTTCGATTAGATATATTTAGTCATTAGTTTAGTGATGAAGTGAACTATGTAGGTAATAAGATTATTTAGTGCTTCTAATAATTAGGATTAGTTAAGTGAAGTGAACAAAACCATACTAACGTTTATGTGTGTGGACAATGAAGTGGCAGGGACGCTTTATTTGTGAATAGTTATAAGTATTTGTGAAGATAGGTAACTAACTGATGGACAACATGTCGTTGCCTATTAAGCGTTCGTTCAGTTCCGAGGGGGGGGCCACCTCCAAGCGCGACTGGAAAATGCGGCTCAGTCTACGCAGTCGCAGCGGACACAGCGTGGTGAGTGTCTTTATGTTGCCAATAGAGAGCCTCTACGTTTTATATTATATTACACATGTTATTAATAGGAAGAGGATCTAACACAACAGTAGTCGGGGAGCTTATTATTGGAAAACCGGGGTGTGCGAACAACGGTAGATCATTCTTAAAATTTTGACGGCAGGCGCGGGGCTTTAAAAACGTAACATTTACCAGCTCATAATACATTTTATTGAGACAATAATTATATTGTTGCATTGTGGGTTAAAGAAAGTGTTTTAGTAGATTGTCGGCCACTAACAGTCGCGTTGTATGCAAGTGTAGCGTTCGCTCACGCGGCGCGCACTAATTTAAAACCCCTTCAATTATTCAAGCCCGTTTTTGGAGGATAGCCGTCGGTGCACCGTGGTTCTTAAGAAATGTGAATCTCCATGATGACCTGGAGCTTGACTCAATCAGTAAGTATATACAGTCGGCATCAATGCGCCACTTTGAGAAGGCGGCACGACACGCATAAATTACATACCCGATCCTGTGGACCGAATGGTAAGCAGCCGACGTCGCCCTAAACACGTCATTACGTACGTCATCCTCCCGATCCATTAACGGGTTTTAGGTACCTTAAGCACCGGTCACCGTCCTCGCGGAACCATTTGCTTGCGACGAAGGGCTCGGCGGGTAACTTAACCCATCGAGTTTCTCGACGGATCTTCTCAGTGGGTCGCGTTTCCGATCCTGTGGTAGATTCTGCGAAGCACGGCTCTTGTCAGGGCCAGCATTAGCAACACCTTCGATTTGAGCCCCGAGAGCTCACCTACACGCTAGGGTAACGCTGGTATCATCCGGGCTGCCACCAGTGCGGGCACCCGGACGATGACGCCCAGCACGCGCTAGAAGCGTGCCCACGGTGGGAGCACCCACGGCAGCACCCGCGGCACTCGTCGCGGTGCTGGCGCAGGACCTCTCTTTGTGGGTTGTCGTCGCCCGTATGATAGAGGACCGGAGTTCGTGGGAGGCCATGGCCGGGTTCTGTGACTTGGTCATGGCGCTTCGTGAGGCTGAGGGGCGCGAAAGAGAATGGGATCCCTCTTCGGCTCCTCAGCGCAGAAGGCGGGGTGAACGGCGCGTGCGAGAGGCCGCCGCTCAGCCCCCGCAGGGACTATCGAGTGCCAGGTTCGACTGTTGGTCTGGTGTTGAAGCTATGCAAGGTGGCTCCTGTGCGCCGCTCACGGTGTGTCCCCCGAGACGACGTCCTTTGGGATTTTCCCGGGGATGCGATCCCGTCTTACCATTAGTACGGGTACCGACGAAGGTGAGACTATCGGCGCGCATTGCGGTACTGTAAGTTTCGTGTAGTCGGTGTGGTGGAGCTCGATGGGGGTTAGTCGGTAGTCGTTCTGCGGGGCAAGTGCTTCGCGCGCCTTTTTCAAAGCGTAGTCTCCTGTCAGAAATTGGGAGAGGTGAAGGACTTCGGCCCTTCTCTTCTCCCTTTCTTCCTCTCAGTAGGCGCCGGAGCCCGACATAACCCGGTCCGTTACCCCCCTCGACCGGGTATCCGTAAATGGATTCCCCAACGTCAAAAAAAAGGGTAACGCTGATATAGCCTCTCAAGGCTATCGGCATAGGAAGGAAAAAAAGAAGAAGAATGTATTAATGCGAATTCAAAAGTATCAAAGTGACATTTGATTTAAATAAGTGAATAAAATACAGGAAGTCACACAATTCTACGACAAGCGCCACGCGGCGGGCGCCAGCATCGACACATCACGCTGCATGTGTGATCACACGTGTCGCGTCATTTACACGATCATTCAATAAGGCTTACCTTCAAATAAATAATATGAAAACGTTCAAAATATGTGTACCCTAATAAATCTTGTGGGCGTGCGGGCGCTTTGTTGGGAATTGGGTTTTTGCATGTATTAGAGTCCCGCGGTTGGTGCGATGGAGACACGTAGAAAAGCTTGAAGAGAGAATATTATTATGTAGAATATAGCATGTTGGAAAGGACACGATCAAGACATTTTGTCTTAGTGTTGTGTGAACTTGTTTCGGACATGCAAGAACAAAACTTTAATCTCTATTTTATTGAATCTTTAGATTGGATTGTATTAATTACAAGGAAAGGTCATAAAACATAAAATACATAAGATATCGTTTCTGGTAGGGCAATGTCGTTAATAAAATATGTAGTATTAGTATTAGTATTAGCCCGCAAATTCAAATGCATTGTATAGTTGTTTTTCAATGGAACCCATGGCGCGAACGGTTGAACAACATGTTTCGAGACATAATTTTTATAGCATTGGTAACCGCAGGCCATAGACATCTACAACGTAAATGCCGCCACCCATAGTTTACTACTTACAAACACGTAGTACGATTTTCGGAAGGTGAAGCAAGGTGTCTGATGTCGGCTGGTGCCTACATTTTGTTTCAGAATACGAAGAATACGATATGAAGGCGTAGGTTAGGCGGACCAATCTCAATTTGGGTAATAACGTGTATAATTAGGCGCCGGGGGCACACAGCCGTAATCCGTTACGTTCATGAGCAGAGGAACGTGAGGAAAAGACCGCACTACAGCTTTATACCTTATAGCTATTGTTTCTGATGGGCTCATTACAATTTTTTTTAAACTATTGTGAATACAGTAAGCTTACGATATCATACGATAATTACACTGTGTTGCCGATGACTTGCAAGGAACAACAACAGTCGACATGGGATATCTTGAATACAAATACATATACAGGGCCACGTTGCGAGTCTGGTGCGAGACAAACGTGATGTATAAGGTGATAAATGCAGCTACATTTTAATTATTGTTGTATTTTCTTATTTTTAATGTTTATACAATCAAACTAGTATTGTCTTCGGTTTCGAGAGTCCTAGACACAATTCAAACTACTTTTCCGATTTCATCTCGGTAAATAACGAATTTTATAGAAAAATAGAGGGTAATAGGTAGAATAGTCAGATGAAAACGAATAACTTGGTCGTCCTTAGTTGTCCTTAGTCGTCCGAGACCATGAATACTGTGAAATATTCGAAAAGAGGGAGTGAATTGAATATTTACATTCATTTATTTACAAACAAACAGCATTCAGAATAGAATTTTGTGTCTTGTTTTGTTATTGACATTCTCAAGAATATAAAATGATAAAAAAGATAATATTAAAGCTCGTTAATAGCTAATCAATGAAAAATAATTGAAATCGGAATTCTTAGCAGACTTTTCTGTTTGACTCCATAAAGAAGAAAGTCATATGGATTGTCAAAAATTCCGATCTCAAGGCTACACTAGAACTTCTGGTTCTACCGACAGACTTCGATGCTTTCTGCTCTTTATGCTCATATGTTTCATGACAGTGACCTCCCGTTACCAGCGCACCGGCCGCCGCCGGGGGTCAGGTCGCCCATCTCCAGACCCGATGCATCTTTTACCTGTTCTTTTTTCAAATAATTTGTGTTCTTGGAATTGGTCTTGGAACTTGAGTCACGGGAACCACTCAGATGAAAAGGAGCCGCGCGAGCGCGTCTTAAAATTGTAACAAGTATATACCTAATTATATATTGGTAGTATTTCTATTTTCTAGTAGAACACAGATGCTTCGACTTGCCGTCGTCTGCCTCCTTTGTATTATTTTAGTTAATATCAATATTATTGTAACAAAATGTAGCCAACACGTTATTGGTTCGTTTGTACATTCTTCTATTTTTATATATTCAATCGAACACAGATCAATGTTAATGTATGCTTGTATATTCCTACGGTTCTAACCTACCTCTACGATTCTCTTCTGCCCTTAACCGCTTAGAGGAAACGGAATTTAAAATTCATGTTCTGTGACGATGTCAGTCGCATCGCTCTAGGAAACTTGACCGGGGTAAGTTTGGGCCAGAAAATTATTTCTCACTTCAATTATTTAATCTCCACTTGCAAAAATATTATTAACTATTAGACATCGTTTTTCATATCGTTCTTTCATCCATTCGCGTATAATCCGGCTCTAGAGTGGGCACACCTCAACTGCGCTCGCCACAGCGAGAGGCTACATCTGTGCTGCACGCCTGATAATTTCACATTGAACTACTCGAAGAAGGGTCTCGTGGGAGTAAGAGGCAGCTTTAATTCACTGGAAATTACTTCAATGTATATTCATGTTCTACAATGTTGTAATTTCTAATTAAATAGCTTACATAAAACGGAGTTGTAGCAGTTTATATTAGAATGATTACACGAAACTGTTACATAATCAAAGTGAATCCATATAATGACACGAATCTAAGAAAGAAATATGATATTATCGTTCGTCAAGAATAATTAAAGAAGCCTTTCCTCAAAGGAAATGAACACAGAATGAACAAAGAATATAATTGACGACGCTGTACGTGTAGGCGTGCGAGTGCCTAGGTCGCTCGATCAACACGCCGGCCCTAAAATCCAATAAAACATCAATGAAAATTGCATAATTTTTTTATTAAGTAGATACAATTAAAATTTTTGAGAGTAAGGTTGGGAAGAAATTGTATCCCCCAGTAGTAGTGATATACGGTATGACCACTGGATCAATCTATATATCTCGTACAATTTATATATTGAACTTTACTCATAGAAATCACAACGTCAATGCTGGCGCCCATCTCGAGCCACGAGGTCTTAGTCACTCACTAGTGACCGCTAGCTACCCGACCGGACGAGCTCAAAGCATCAAACTTACCACTACTGCTTAGTTGAAACAAACAATAAACAATCAGAACTTGTCAAAATACATTGTTAAAAGTACTTGATGTGTTTTGACAAGCAAGCTTCATTTGTTGTTGCTCCCTCAGCCGCCCCTGGGCTCGGTGTCGCGGGCCATTCTTGTGTGCCGGAAGATCCGGTGGGTGACGTCAGGGAGCTCCAACCTGCCAGGCCGTTGTTTCCAATGTTCCATTATTATTCAAAGTCGGGTTGAATGCTGAGTTGCTACTCAGATTTTATGCTTGCATCCATTTTAACAATCTTTAAGTATGGTAAGTGTCACGTGGGTTCGTTCTACGAATCTTTTCGTTGCTGTTGCAGAGCCAATGTGGGCATAGTTTCCTATTTCCTATCATTAGTTTACTTTACTTACATCCAAGAGTAAACTACATCTCCGACATTTACTGAGGGTACTGAGTTACATGAATTAACAAAAAGTAAACTTGTACCTATCTAGCTTATAATAACTGTAAATATCCTAGTTGTGTACTGCAACTTGTGGTGGTAGATTCAATGAAGTCTGCTCTTCGGCTGTGCTTCCCAAGTCCTCCCAAATTAAGCCCAGTCAGCTCGCCCACCTAACCGTACTCATCGAACTTGACAAAGAGTTTGACGTGCAAACCAACCCATGCATCAGCTCGCTGAATTTCTCGCCGGATCTTCTCAGCGGGTCGCGAGTCCGATTCGGTAGTAAATTCATTTGCTAAGTAGCTGCTCTTGAGTTGTTAGGTCTCCTTCGGAGGCGCTCGGGCAGTTGTTCTCAAGCCCCACCCCTTCTGGCTGAGCCTTTGCTCGCCCACCTGTCCTGTTGAAACTGGAAAGGGCCACCCACCAGCAATGACTCAATCATAAAAAAAACCTAACCGTTCGTAACTGAAATAGCTCCTCGAGTTTACCAGCGATTAGATAAGCAGAAAAAAAGTAGTAAATAGTATTTCTATTTAGTCGTCCTCGCATTTTATTATTAGTTGTAGCTTATAATTTAGTTACTTTAGTAGTCCGTGAAAACGAAAACCGCCTGAAATAATATAATGACAATAAAATAAAACGATCTATCGCTGGAAGGCTGGCAGATGTGAAACATTCATATCATTTTGTACAGGTACATGTATGTACAGGTCTAGATGCAGAAAAGGATAGTTTACGACAGAAATTCATGTGGCATAATGAAAAATAAAATATTAATGTAACCTCTATATGATTCTCTATATGATGATGAAACGTACTGCGTAGCTACAACTGCTTTACATATTATGCATTTAAGAAATTTTTGTAGTGGTACTCGTAGCTGAAAAGCTAAACAGGAACAGAATTTTAATTTCCTTAAACATTTACTGCTGGTGGATCTGGAATAAATTATTTATTTACTGTAGGAATCATGTATGTAATTAAATAATTTTATAATACAACAAGTGATTTCAATAAATAATACACTGGAAACGCGCTCTCAAACAACCGGAAAGTTTAGGGTCCGAGGCAACGCTGCCGAGGTAATGGGCTAGATGTTTTTATGTCTTATTGTTTGTAAACAAAATTACCCAATTTATCGATATAATTTAATTATAGCACATATAACGAGTATAATGGAGACCGGAACAACATTACACTGATGTTAGCGTTACAATGACGTTGTCGTTTTACTCGTCTAAGAGGATGCAGCTATGCATTATGCGCACCCACCAAATATTGGATCTCAGCTTCACTACAAGCATTGGATGAGCTTCCAGTCCAAATAACATACTTGTAATCCAATGAACCAGTTCAAATTTATGGCTAAAATATTCAATATCGAAGCATATTCAAAATGTATGAATTTTGAATACCATTATTCATTTCCCCACGTAAACATAAAAAAAAACATAAAAAGACTACAATACTATATAAATGATTCAAATTATAAATCTGACGTCGCGCAAACTTCAATACGCCGAGAGAGTGAAAGAGAAAATTTAGCGTTTCGCGTTTGTCAGAGATTACTTTAATTATTGAAATGTAACCCTCAACCGGTATCATGCTTTCTCATCTGTAAATAACTCGTAAAGGAATTCCTTTTTAGACGTAGATCCTTTTGTGATATCCTTATGGTAATTTCATGCTTTAATATCACCGACACAGGATTTCAATCTTTTAGAGATAAGAATAAAGGTGGTTTTAATTATATTTGAGAGAATTTTATAATAGGCAAACTTATACTTTCCGATATAAAAAAAATCAAATTAAATAATGGGCACTTATTTAAGATCCGTGTACATTTATTAGGTTGAAATAGGTACTTCAAGGAACCTTAGCACAGTGACATTCTAAATTGCATAGGGTAACTTTACTTTAGACTTTTACTAACAGTCCGTCCATGTTGAGCTGGAGGCGGAGTCGCTCGCTGCCGATTATCGGTGGCGCAGCGAGCCTCGTGCTCTGGGCGTGGCGCGTCTCCCCAAAAGTGAGCTGCGGGCCTGAAAGGCCCATTCTCGGCGGTCCGTACTCGAGTGGTGGTCGAGGCGATTGGCCAACCCCACGTGGGATCGTGGCGTCGATGCTTGGCGGCGACTAGTCCTGGAAGGCTACGCTGTGCCATCCATGTCCCGGCCCCCTAGGAGTTTCGGGCTCCAACCGCTTTGTGCGCCGAGGCACACAGGCGTAGGGCAGCGTGCTCGGCATGCTTGCTCATAATAGGAAGTCGGGTAATAGTAAGCCGCGTTGCCCCGACCGCTCCAGCGCGGCGCCATCAAAGCGGGCTTCCGGTACGCTGACCGAGGAAACCGGTGACCATGTCTCTGGCGGCTGCCGGTCCGGCCTCTGTGAGACGGTGGGATAGATGTGATGATGCCCATAGACATGTTCTTCGTTCAATAACCGGTCACACGTACATACATATATTTAACTATTACAGTCATAATTAGCGTAATGGTTTTTGATAAACAACTAGAAAGGTTATAAAAGATATCTTATGATAAATAAAGAGAGCAAGAACGGCAATTCATCATCATAATCGGTTGCTTTTGCACAGCAGTTGTGGTGATGTGGAATTCTTGCTTATTAAAGCCTTGACAGATGTTTCCCACAGTTTGCGAACCGAGGCCTGGCGCACACACTCGTTAAGTGGGGTTTCAGTAAGGTCTTTCACCTGATCAGTCCAACGCATGGGGATTCGTCCACGAGATCTCTTACCATTGACCCTACCCTGAACAACAAGTTTCTCGATAGACTCTGCTGGCCGTCGCGATACGTGTCCAAAATATCGAAGAATCCTGGATTGCACTGTTTACGATAACCTGTGAGAGATATTTAGTTCTTTCAGGATCGAGGCGTTGGTGCGATGCTCAGTCCAACATATACGGAGCATCCTTATCCAGCACCACATTTCTGAGAACAGCAATTATGTAATAATAATTGAAATAAATGAAATGCGTGTGTTGTTGTTGCAGGAGGCGCTGCGCGGGCGGCGGTGCGCGTCGCTGCGGGCGGCGGCGGCCCCCGCGCGCGGCGCCGCTGACGACTCCGGCCGCAGCACGCCCTCGGCGCCGCACCGCGCCTCCCCCTCCCCGGCCGACACGCCCGCTCCCAAGAAGTCCAACTGGGAAGTTATAGAACATTTCTCTTCTAATCGGAGCACCAAGAGCCCTTCTACGGTAAGTACATTCACTTTACCTCCAAAAACCATTCGTCTGTTATATATGTTCGCAGCAATAAACATCACACCGTGTACTTGTATGAAACGAAAAACGTTTCACGAAAAATCTAGAACGGTGAGAAAATTGAAAAACTCTTCTTTTCCAAAAAATCTATCTCGTCCCGCTAAAGCCACGTTAATTATCGTCCGCCTTCGTTAGCTCTGTAACTAAAAGTAAAAAGCGTTTCAACTCATGTTGGACCACGAGAGCTTTCAGGTTGTCGTTTTCAATCAGACCGAGCCGTTTCGAATGTAACTTTAAAATTTTCACGTATTTTCAAGCAGTGAAGCGGTCATCCGTGCCTGCCTTGTGACAGTCATATTTCCTGTTGTTGAGAGGAAAATTACAGAAAACTTACTGTGAATTTGATGAGACCTTATCAACGAGTCAATAAAGACTACATTTGCATTACATAGGTAATTGGACTGCTGCATTCGGGTCCGGCGTGGTCTCTGCGGGAGTGACATTCGCAACATTTTATTTGTTCTGCGGACGAACGGTTGCCATAAAGTGTTCACTCCAGTTAGTGAGTTGTTGAACACGAAGACAGTTTGTAGATTGTTTGCCTTTTCACGCTAACTTTGCTTTGTAGTGAAAAACTTGTTAGAATGGCGTGAGTTAAATTAAATGTTACTCAACTATAAAGTGAACAAGTTGTTGAGAACTTGAACTAATTGAATAAGAACTCTTAGTTTATATTAAAAACACTCGTATTATAATGAATTGAGACATCGCCTAATAACTGCGGTTGATAGTTCATATAAGAACGATATAACGACGACTCGGATTTACATACGAATCATAATGATATCACATCATGTTCTCAAGTTAAAGAGATCGACGAGGCCACGGCCCACCTGGTGTTAAGCGGTTACCGGAGCCCATAGACATCATACTACCCACCTCTAAACATCATTAGCTTTAAGTCTCAATTTTTTAGTACAACGGCTGCCTCACCCTTCAAACCGTAATGCATTACTGCTTGACGGCAGAAATAGGCAGGGCGGTGGTATTAACCCGTGCGGGCTTACAACGCGCCCAATATCACTAGTGATGACGCAAATTATATTTCTTTAAGAAGTTAATCCTTCGCCGGTGAACATTTGTTAAGAACATATTTCGTTACAAAAATTGGTACCTGCTTGCTAGACTCAAACACCAGCACAATCATATAGATGGATACGAAAGCACCGGACCTCTTATCCTTTAGGCCACGACGAATTCAAGAGTATGAAGAGTCTGTCTTTAAATATATTGTACGAGGGTTGTTCAATAAATAGTGATAATGCGATACATTCTCCTCGGAAAGAGAAAAAATAAATACTGCAGACATTAGATATAGTAATAGTAATAAATAAAAACATATGTGCAATTCACACGTGGTAGAAGTGAAACCGTCAAAACATTTTGGCTTCAAGATAATGAAACGAATGTAAAATTTCGGTAAGGCGATAATTGTAGGTTTTATTAATGATCATAGTGATAGAAAGTTTGATAATTATTTTACATTTTATTCGTATATACTAATTACATAGATTTATTCACTCAATTTTTTTTTCAATAAAATCATTTTTTATATTAAAATTTATTTTATATTTCTTAGTTGGATTTTCTATAAAACCTTTTTTTTTTTTTCAAACTATTTTTTTTTTCATTTTTTACTTGAATTCCTACTGTTTTTTTTTTCAAAAAGGTCTGAGTTAGTCGGTAGCTTTTCCGAGAAATAAGTGATCGGCGCGCTTGGTAGTTTCCCTTCTTAGTCTTGACGCAGACACGCCTGGTCTCAGGAAAACAAAAAATTGCCAATCCTGATTATCTTAGTAAGCATAACGGATCAAACTGTTTAAAATATGGAATTGTCATCGGTCCTTAATAAGTCAAATTTCGAGTTAATCCGACGTTTCGAAGGGGGTCAAAACCATGTTCATAGATTCCCTTACATACTAACATACATACTAATAACATACGTATCCAGCTAATAAAAGCGTATTAAAAAGCAATTCTTTCTTTCTTCAATTCTTTTTTGTTTTTTTTAAAATAGAAGTCATTCGTTTGCGTCGTGCCGGAACGTGTTCTTAAAAATAGTTGAAATTGAAATTCGCGCAGTAATAAAATATCTAAATTTTACAACAGAGCTGGTGAATCAAGAGTTGAAAGCAACATTAGAGGTTCATGCTCGTCCATAGTCCACGGTCGCACGTTGGTGTACTGAGTTCAAGCGAGGAACACCTTCCATTAACGACGCCCCCTACACAGGGCGGCCTCCGTCGGTAGCTACTGAACAAATGATTCAAAAAGTTGAAAACATTGTCTTGGCGGAACTGTTTGTTTCATTACAATGAAATGAAGATTCCTATAGCAGGGGTCCATAATATTATTATACATAATCATTTCGGTACGTAAGCAGTGCCAGCGCGCTGGGTGCCCGGAATGCTTTTTGACGCACTGAAAGAAACGAAACTGAGAATTTCACAAAACTGTTTGAGTTTGTTATACAACAAGTTATATAACAAGATTTTGACGGAATTCTGTACTCGATTCATAACTATGGACAAAGCATGGTTTTACCATTGTGACCCGGAAACAAAAAAACAATCTATGATTTGGAAGAGACCATCATCTCTAACTCCAAAGAAATTTAAGACGATTCCAACCGCGCTCAGGTTAGATCATGGGCTGGGCATGGGCTTTCTGGGAGAGGCAAGGACTGGTAATGAACAATACCTTAATCATGGAGCCACTATATGACGGGGATTTTGTACGCCGCACAAATAACAAAGTTGCGTGAGGAAATACTCAAGCAACGTCGCGGCAAGCTCGCTGAAGTTGTTTTGTTTCACCAAGCACCAAGATAACGTCCCCGCGCACAAATGTAGAGTTGAGACAAGTCCAGAGAGGCTGCCATTCAAGTCGCTGCAGTTCAAGCTGGCTTCGAACTAATGGAATATCCTCCATATTCACCGGACCTAGCTCCTAGTGATTTCTACCTGTTTCCGAGATTAAGGGAACATCCCAGGGGCCATAAATTTTAATATAATCACACAGTAGCTTTCGCGGCCACGATTTTATAAGGGATCAGAGAGATGATTTTTTTTAAAATAGTTTTTTTTTTATTTTAGAAAAATGATATAAATAGTGTATAAGCCTAAAAGGTAACTAGGTATAAAAAAATTGAATGAAAGATAATTATGTCCTACTCATTATCACTTTATTGACCACCCCTAGTATGCTCTTTCTGCTTACTGTTTATTGCTCATCAAACATTGCGTCGCCAGGGCTATAACGATATAAAACAAATTCCGACCTAAGTTATATTTTCGACATAAATCTGAGATAAATCATATTTTGAGACGTGATCGTCTAGCGCCCCTAGCAGTAACGATGAATGCTGCGAGATAAACAGAAACAATCAGGTTCCAGGTCACCGCTACATTCATTAAAATAACTTAGTTATGTTTTTATTGTTCCCTAAACAAATATATTGAATGTTTTTAGTATCTCGGCAATATTATCTTAAACAATCGAACCAGTGGCCTCCTCGGCTCGCTATCCTTACAGATGTTTGGTTCCTCACCACATTTATATTCAGTTCGTGAAAACACAACATTGTTTTATTTACCAGTTTAGTGAATTAATTAATGTGTTAACACGCCACGACGAGCTTCAGAATTTTATACAATCGTGAGAAATTTGAAATGAGGTTTCAGAGAGAAAATAATTTTCCCAGTCAAAGCTGTATGCATGTCACACAGCGCGCTCTCGTTAAAAGGCTCTGCGTGCTTCCATCGCGTAGCTGTCATCCGTGGTGCAGTGCTATTTCAAAACTCGTACAACTTTTTCCTCGTACACATCGTGTATTCGATTCTATTAGGATGTTTGCTTCGGTTTCGTTAAATTAATTATTAAATGGCTATCCTATAAAGTAATTCATTAATAAAATAAATAATAGTTTAAAAAAACTAACAAAATACGCTTTTATGGAAAATCCAGAAAATTAAAAAAATAAATTTAAATTAATAAATTTAAATTAAAAGTAGTTTAAGAAAAAATGATTTTATTGTAAAAAAGCGTGGGGTGCATGGTATAAGTAGTTATAAATATTTTATGAACAGATATGAGTAGAAGGGCTATTTCGACAATATCCTGAAAAGCACCCCACGCTTTCATTTTATTTCATTAGAAAAATTGATACCCGCTTGAGATTCGATCGATTGCATTTGAAGTTGTCGTAGCCTAAGGAATAACACGTCCGGTGCATTCGCGTTGAGCGATGCACCGGTGTTCGAATCCTAGGTGGGTACCAATTTTTCTATGATTCAATTAATGAATTACGTACTCAACAAATGTTCACGATTGACTTCCACGGTGAAGGAATAACATCGTGTAATAAAAATCAAACCCGAAAAATTATAATTTCCGTAATTACTGGTTTTTGGACCTTTTGTGAGTCCGCGCGGGTGGGTACCACCGCCCTGCCTATTTCTGCCGTGAAGCAGTAATGCGTTTCAGTTTCAAGGGTTGGCCAGCCGTTGTATTGAGACCTTAGAACTTACATCTCAAGGTGGGTGGCGCATTTACGTTGTAGATGTCTATGGGCTCCAGTAACGACTTAACACCAGGTGGGCTGTGAGCTCGTCCACCCATCTAAGCAATACAAAAAATCGCTAGATACGAATGCACCGGACGTCTTTAGGCCACGACGACTTATGCAAGTTGTTTTACATCAAAAAGCGATAATAATTGTTGTTGTTCGAAAGCCGTCTTTGTATACTGAATCTAACTGTTTACATAGAATGAATTTGGGACAAAGATTGATCTAAATATTGCTTGAAACAAAGATATTATTTGAAAGCAAATGTCCAGTGCCTAGTGACGCAGACCAGATTTTATCTATTATAGTTGAAGTCATCTTTATTATATGTACGTACAAGCTCAATAATACTTTTTTTAATTTTGTA